CAGTTTTGCCCATCACTAGTTTCTCGTGTGGGCGGTTAAGAAATGCCCAAATCGCATTTTTATTAATAACTCAAGCGGCTCTTTAGCATATTTAGAAAATGCATTTTTACGAATAATTTGGTACCACATACTTGGTATTTCGAGTCAAATTGCCGTTATATTTATGGTAAATAAATAAAATTTAAAATCCTATTTTTTTTTAATTGACAATTTCAAAACTTGACATATTATATGTCATTATAGTCAGATTGTCATTTACTAACAAATGAAGTAGAAAAATACCGAAGGTGCCATTTAAAAATCAAAAGTTGTAATAATTTCCGGTGAAACAAGAAGTGACCGACAACAATAATTTTTTATTTTAATTATTTTTATTCGCTATTTGCAATTTTATTTTTAAAACATATTATGTGAAACAATCACATAATATGTCTTAAAAATAAAATTACAAACGGAAACAACAGGAATAATTACAAACGGAAACAACAGGAATTAAATAATCTGAAAATTTACAAAGTTTATTGATAAAAAAGTTAGGCTATGCAAATTGATAAGTATATTAAGTATAACCTTTTTGGTATAACATTGTTAAACAAACATTAACAAATCATAACATAGAAACAATCATAGAACTAAAAAAAGTACTATTACATAAAAACAGGTGATACAATACTTCAAAATTAATTTTAACATAATATCAAAACTGAAAAATCAAACTGCAAACACAACCACACTTATCACAACAGAAATTAACACACACGTCCGCGGCAAATGTCCAAGAAAGACTGATCATTCTGATTGGTCCTGGTCCGGTCGTAGCTCACGTCGTATTGTCGGTAAGCAAAATCCCTATCCAAAAATTTGACGATCAGCGCCATCATCCGTCATAATTGGGAAACTTTTGCTGGAACCATTTTTAATATTTCACTTACATGGCCCTGGACTAAACTAAAATCTACAATTTGAGCGTTTATATACTCACTCAGTGGGTACCGAGTGCCGAGTGGGCGTGGCAAGATCTAGCCAACCGGGTCAGAGCCCACCGAGGGTAACAATTAAATTTCCGCAACTAGAGTAGTAGGAACAAAGCACTGGAAGGAATAGGACCGGTGTCTCTGTTCATACTATCTTTACATTTATTAACCGTGATATTTTCATATGCATCTAATTGCCTGTAATTTGAGACTTCTTTAATTATTTTTAAATTATTAAAATTTATACAGGGTGGCGCGGCGCCTCTCATACGCCGCGGAAGCTCCAAGGAGAACGGTTGTTTATATCGAAGTGAAATTTTGCAAGCATATGTAGGTTAAATAAAATCATTTTATAAAAATATATAGAATTTTACAGGGTGTCCCCAAAAGAAGTTACACATCAAAGTTGTGCTTTTTCATATGGAACACTCTATATATTAATTTATTTTCGGATTCTATGAAAAAAATAAAGGTGAGTTTTAATAAAGAAGCATATAATTAAAATCTAAGAATTTTAACATATTTCACATTTTGTGAAAATGAAGAGTAAATTTTAAATTTCGATATCAGCTACCTAAATTTTAGTTGCCCTTGTATAGCCTGATATTTAATTACAGTAACCATTGTATAATAAACCAAATTGAAATTTGACACTAAAAGTTATACAGGGTGAGACAAAATTAATATGGAACATTAGTCACTTGTAAAAGCAAGTTACTCCTTTTTTTTAAATGGAACACCGAGTATATTTTTCCGGTGTTCAATGGGAAATTTATATATCTTCAAAATATTATTAAGGTTGCCTGCCCCTCAGATAAAGATTTTCCTAGATATTTTTATTTTTATGATTTTGCGTCAATAGATCTTTATTGTTTGAAAAAATCTAGGGTTGCTGTGTGACCTTTGGTTAATATAATAAAAATCAAATATTGTAGAATAAAATACTCAACGGTAATAAAAAGATACACGTTTAAAACATATTTTAATTATTACAGAATATAAACTAGTTATAAACCTATAATTATGTGACAAAAATTAGCTATATGAAATCAAATGCTCAAAATGCTTCCTTTCCTGTTAACTGTATAAAATGATTTTCTTTTCAAAAGGATCTTTTCATTTTAAAAAGCATATGTGGAGTTCTACCTCGAAAATCAGCTACAATAATTTCTCTTATGTTGTCGACGATAGTTGGTCGAGTTTTGTAAACACTGTCTTTAATATATCCCCATAAAAAAAAAACAAACTAGATAAAATCAGGAGCATTTAAGTATTCTATTAATTGGTGAATGCAGTGTGCATTCAACTAATAGAATCATATCAATTCTCGTTGATGTGGGATATGTATGCATTTTCGGCAAATTTCTGATATTTTTTTTTTTGTTTTAACTGACACAAAATGATAACTAGTTGTTAAAGTTGGACTAATTAGACCGCTATGTTGAAGTAACGTCAAACTTATCGCAGCCACCTAGATTTTATCAAATAATAAAGATCTACTCAGATCACATCATGTAAATTAAAATATCTAGGAAAATCTTTGTTTGAGGGGTAGGCAGCCTTAATAGTATTTTGAATAGACATGAATTCTCCATTGAATATGGGAACAATATACTGGATGTTCCATTTAAAATAAAAGAGTAATATGCTTTTAAAAGTTACACTTTTTGTGTTTAATTTTAAATAGTTAATTTAACTACATATTATGCTATACCGGGTAAATTCCAATTTAGGTACCTTTTATTGTAATTTAAAAATTGTTCTTTATTTCTAGAAAATGTTAAATATGTTAAAAAATGTTAAAAACCTTACATTTTAGTCATCTACTTCTCTTATAAAACTCACCTTTATTTTTCTCCCAGAATCCAAAAATCAATTAATAATAGGGCGTTCCATTACAAAAAACACAACTTTGATATGTAATTTTTTTGGGGACACCCTGTAGAACTCTCTATATTTTTAAAAAGTGCTCTGAATTAACCTACATATGCTTACAAAATTTCATTTCAATACAAACTTTCGTTCTCCTTGGAGCCTCCGCGGCGTACGAGAGGCGCCCACCCTGTACAGGGTGTCCCATTTTGATTGAAATCATATGGTATCTCCGTTATTAGTGAAGATAGAAGAGTGCGGTTTGCACAAACCTGTGCCACTTTTTTGTCAAACGGAAGATGCCGTAAACAAAATTTTCATAGCTCTCTTTGTTTCTGAGCTACAGGGTCTTTTTGAAAATTTTGCAATTTGGGACACCTCCTGTATCTCTGTTACTGTTAAATCTATCGAGGTGGTGAAAACTGTTTATTGTAGAACTTTTTACGTAGAATATAGCGACGTAGTCTGTTGCTCTACGAAAAGAATATTTTTAAAGATATGAACTAAAGTTATGTTTTCTTAAATGGAACACCCTGTATATTAATGAATTAAATGATCGGACTTGCCATAAGCTTCTCAAAAATATATAACACTCTATATTTATTTTCATTATTTAATGCAATATTTAAAAAAATATATTAAAAGATCATATTTATTAGTAGGCCATGATTGATAATAAAAGAAACTAAAGAATTATTAAAAGTAATATTGCTATCTGTCTCTTGTTTTATTTTGAGAGCCACTAATTAATTCTTTGTATATTAGGGAAACTTAAATCTCTACCGCTATTTGTAAATCTTGGAAGCTATCTTATTGGAACTTTCAAATATCCCTTTAGCTAATTTACGTGAAAAATAGTTTCAGCAAGATGGGGCTCCCCTCACAACTTAACTTACAACGAAAATATTAGAATTTTGCTAAATTATTATTTCTCAAATCAATGAATTGGAACCAATATGATGACCTCCCTGATTCCCGGATTTGTCCGTTCTCGATTTCTGATTTTAGGGATTTTTGAAATATGAAATATATCGTGGCAACTAATACAATGTCGAACACCTGGAAAATGCTTTAACAATGCAAGCTTTTAGATATTTGCAAACCCATCTCATTATAATAAATTCCGTTATAAAAAAGAGAAAAATATATTCAGAGGTTCAGTGGTAACAATTCAAAAGTAAAATATATTAATCCCAAATAAAATTTTAATATGTGTATCTCTATTTTAGTAAATACCATTTTGATTTTGTTATTTATCACGGCCTACTAATAAGAAAATTAAATATTTTAAATATTGCAGTAAATATTGAAAATAAATATAAAGTGATATATGTATTTGAGAAGCTCATAGCAAAGCGGATCATATGATTTATAAATATACAGGGTGTTCCATTTGAAAAAACCTAACTTTAGTTCATATTTTCAAAAGTATTTTTTTCGTAGAAAAACAGACTACGCCACTGTATTCTACGTAAAAAGTTCTACAAGAATCAGTTTTCATCTTCTCGATATCATCTATAATAACGGAGATACGGTGGCTGTCACAAATTGCAAAATTTTCGAAAAGACCCTGTAGCTCAGAAACGAAGAGAGCTATGAAAATTTTGTTAACAGCATCTTTCGTTTGACAAGAAAGTGGCAGGTTTGTGCAAACCGCACCCTTCTATCTTCACAAATAACGGAGATACCGTATGATTTCAACCAAAATGGGACCCCTGTACATACAATGTTCTTTAGCAACAATATGTTCAGTAACGCAAGATTTATCCGGTCTACCATATCTTATCTGAGCTAAATGTTCTTTATATACAGTTAATAATTGATCTTCTAGTTTGCCCAACATATTTCTGATTACAATCTTTACAAGAAATTTCATAAATACCCGACCTTTCCATGGTTAGCGAAACGCGCGTCCAGTATAAAAGTAAAAGTTTTTTTGGTGTATTGTGGTGATTTAGTGTTTTATTTTGCTGTATAGCACCAAAGGTTCCAACCCCCAACTGTAATCTTTGGGAATATAAAATATCCGATCACTTCCGGTTCACTTATTTTTGTCCGAAATTCCCTATTTACAAAACTACAATTTTTTTGCATTTCCATTAGATGTGGGCAAAGAGTGAAAGGGTCTTTTTTTAGTTGTCGGGTCCAGGTTATCGTTTCTAGATGCAATGATAAGCCGAGGTGATCTTTTTCATCCAAGCATTATGTCCAAGGAGTTATTGATTTTTTTATTAGCCGTAAGTAAAAATCTACTCGTATCTCGTATTATTAATATTTGTCCATTCATACCTGTCGGCCACAGGTAATTTGAGTTTTTTATCCGTAAAGCTGAGTTTATATGCATCCGTTATGCGTCGTCCCTCGTTGCGTCACTTCAATAATATTCAAGTGTAAGCTGTTTCTTGAAATAGTCTAATAAAATTGTATAAAATCAACGACGGACGACGTATTTCGGAGTTTTTTTTGGTTATTTCAAAAAATGACAGCTCATATTTTGGTAATATTGGAGTGACGGAGACGAAACAACAGACGACGTATTAAGGTTGATTCTCACTATCCCTTCAATATCAGCTTCCTTCCATTTCCGTTCCGTTTACATAAAATATTATATCATGTAAATGAATAGGACAATAAACACTATCCGTTCCGTTCCCTTTCCGTTCCATGTCCTTTCCTTCCATACATTTTCTTGACGGACGGACTGAAGCGTATCGGAACCAGCGTTGTCACGTTCTTACATTTGTACCAGCTCTGTTAAAATTTTGCTGATATTTATTTATTCTTTCACCTCTTAATTAAATCTGTTACCTTTTTCAAAAGATACAAATTCTTAAAATAAAACTTTCGTAATGATATAATTGTACAATAAAAAGTATGGAATTGATACAGAACGGAAGCTTACGTATAGCGTCAATACAATAAAAAATTGGCGCCGGGAGGCACATATAGCCGCCCATAAAATATGTTAATAAAAAGTTAGTAGGCAGTTCTTTTAGTTTCAAAATAAAGGAATTTTTCCATTTTTTTTATCTCACAAACTGCGACTTTGATGACTGATTTTGATGTTATTACAAATTTTGTTGCAAATATTAATCCTAATCTTAAATTGACAACTGCGTTTCACTAGCTACTGTAATTTTGGAGTTACGATTTTTTTAAATTTTTAACCCTCTCCCATACCCCCTTACTAACCCCCCACCCCCATCAAAAACTAATTCCAGATTCTCGGGTGCCACAGTGTTTTTGTGCCAAATTTGGTTAGAATCGGTTTAGCGGTTTTTGAGTTATCGTGTTACAGACGGACAGACGGACAAACAGACAGACACCATGAAAATATTATGTATTTAGGTCAGTTATGACCCAAATAACTCATTTTGAGTGAAATTAAAAAACTTTTTTTGCCGCTCTTAATAGCCTACCATACCTATTGGTATGGTCGGCTAAAAATACGGAACGGATATGGAATGGAAACGGAAGGTATAGTGAAAATCAACCTTAAACCCGCGGTTGCATTGGTCGCGGGTGCGTGCGTATTTTTAAACGTGCGAGCTCTGACGGAATTTACTGGCACGACTATTTTATTTTAGTGGTTACATTAGATGCGCGTTCATGATATGCTGTGTGTCGAGTTTGTCAAAACTACTTTGATGCTGTCTGAGTTCATGGTATCCTGTGTGTCGAGTTTGTCAAAACTACTTTGATGCTGTCTGAGGATTTAATGTTAAAATAACTACTTATGAACAGAAGAAAATGTTAGGTAAATGATTTTTATACAAGAAAAGGGGAAGACAATGAATATGTAAAATATTTGGTGAATTAAAACAGCAACCGGTCAAATTTTTTGAATATTTTAGAATGCTTCTAGCAACATTAATATATCTAAAATAAAAATAAACCTAGTATTCAAAAATGTTCAAATTTTTCGGGAATGTTTTGGGCCCAATTCGAACGCTCGGACGTGCACGTATTAAAAAAAAACAAACCAGTTTGTTTTCATCCGACCAACGATAGTTCACGTACGTACACGGACGCGCAAACTCCGATGCAATGTAACCGCCTGCGTGGATACCATTTGTTTGTTTTTTGCCCGTGCAGGTACGACCAAAAATACGCATGGATACGCATCCAGTGTAACCACGGGCTAATAGTCCAAGAGCCGGGTGCAAAAACATGCAGAGTTTTCTGAAGGCTCATATTTTCAAAATCGATTGCATTTTAATGTTAAAAAGCAAAGCGACAGTCAGCAGTAAGGTAGGATATTTTACTTTCCGACACTTGCGACATGCGACAACGACGTGCGACACTGTGGTGTGCCGTAAATTTAATCTAGCACTAATCAAATTAGTATGTTGTTTAACCTGTCGACTTGCGGCAGCGACATGGCGGCATCGCAGATGTCGCTGCGGCAAGTCGGCGTCGTGTCGTCCAGAAAAATATTTTTTTTCTGAATGACATCGCAGCTAGTACTTTTGTAGCATCCACCGCATCTGCGTCGGTCTGTTTGGAATTTTTGGCGGTTAATATATTTGTTTTTTTTTCTGCATGTCACAAACATGGGATGATGGATTAGTAGATTGTGTACGTACATTTCCAGTTCTCTGGGAGATGAAAAAAAATTCATATACGGATAAGGAATAAGGTGGCCAAAGACAACCCATGGAAAAATATCTCGGAGTATATGTCAGAATGTTTCTGAAAAGGTTCAGGAGCGTGAAGTAGTAGAGCTAAGTTTTCTTCTTCTTTGTCATAAAGCAAAAGAACCGCAGCAATATTATATACGACGAATAGCGTTCATCTTAATAAACTGCACTGCTTCGAACGACTTGCTGAACTCAAGTGTCGCATGGTAAGAAAACACGTTTATCGCAGACCCGCAATCCGCGTCGCCACAGTTTATCGCACGTCGTTTTCGCATGTCGCAGTGTCGGAAAGTAAAACATCTTACCTGTACCAGTTCCGGGACACCTCCAAACTGTTTTCTGTAGGCTGAAAATTTGTAGATAACATTCGAATGCAATGTAAAACAAAAATATAGCAGTCAGATAGAGGTATGGCAGTGTCAGCGCTACTTGAAACGCGCTTTATTTCCCGTTTGTGAGTAGAGATACAATGATGTGATTTTCATAATACTTTGTTGTTTTTATGAAATTAAATATGCTACACATAAGTTTGCTGAGCCTCCTTAGCTCCTCAATAATATATACAGAGCGTACAGGGCGAATTTGTGATGCGCAGTAGCGAACAGATATTGAACACAGATATGATGCGCAGTAGTAAACGCAACGTCTACCGGCAGCTAGACGGTTCGGACTCTGTTCAGGAGAGCATAGCAAAAGATATAAAAGAACCAACTTTCTTAAAATTATCTCTCGAAAACGTTGCTAGCTCTTAGACTATAAGTAACACGCTGGCAAAAAAATGTTGTCACTCAAAGTGATTTCTGAAGACTGAAATTTTGGATTATCTTAAAAATATTAATTTTTGCGTCGTGGTTGACAATATAAAAAATTCACAGTCCTTTACAAAGATGCAACCGGGGGGGCATTGAAAATGATGAATAAAAACGTAAAAATATGATTAGTGTTAATATGAGTGTATTACATACATATGTTTAAATAACGAACTTAACAAAAAACAACAGATTTAAAGATTCACTGAAAAAGTAGTAATGTTAACATTAAATAAAACATTATCAATAATAATTATGCGATCGCACCTATCCGTAAAACAAGCAAGCAAAAAAACATCGAAAAAAACAAAATAACATACAAAACATCAGGTTAACATGATGACAGATCATGATCAATGACAGATAAAGAATTCTTACGGAAAGTTACACTTTACGATATAATTTTTTAACTGTTAAAGGCCCATTTACACAAAACTTTTTAATACCTACTACTGTATCTAAAAGACATTTTTTTAAATTACTAAATTCTTAGCCACGCTTCTGTTTTTCTTGGCTGTTGTGCGTCACGTCACAGATTAACAGGCCCACGTTTGCACCACAAGGCGATGCTGCAGACCACTAGGTAGACCGGTCGTAGAAATTTATGTTATACATTGTAGTCAATCTACACAAATATTATCAAAAACTTTTTTTCTTTTAAAATGTGTTCAGATTTTTTAAAAAGTATAAGTCAAAATCGCAAAACTTAAATTTGATATGAGTTTCTGAGTTTTTAACTAATATAGTGGCGAATTACAAAAATTCCTTTTCAATGAAAATTAAAGAGTTAAATAAAATAATTTAATAAATTACTAGCTTTTTCCCGCGACTACGTTCGCGTTACACCTCGAATCGTTCATGCATTGATTTAAATGATTTTTTACTTCTTTATAGAGAGCTAGTGAGCATAGATGTTTTTTATTTATTAATACTCTCTTTATAGGTTATTTTTTATTCTTTGAAGGATAATTGACGAAGATATATTTCGTTATGATGTCACTAAATAAACCCTTGTATAAAATTTTATACTGTCTGGTTTATAATGTTAATTGCATTTTCGTAGAGCAAACTTTCATTCTCTATTCTACTCCCTAAGGGTATAAATTTCATAAATTCGCTTTACCTTTGTGCCAATTTTTATGTGTATAATCCAGAGGTCACCAAGTTTTATATAAATTTTTACTAACTTTACCCATTTGGTTGATGAATTTCAGAAATTTCTTCTAATTCTTTTTGTAGGATTTCATTCTTCTAGACCAAATAGTAAGGAATTTTCATACAATAAACTGTTCCGAGATAATTTTACTCTCTAAGAGGATGAATTTCCTAAAATCGCTTTGTGTAGCTAATTCACTAATGTCGTTTAAACGAACCTTTGTGCTAATATTTATGTATGTAAAGCTGGCGGCATGAACTCACTCTAAAATATCTAAAAACGTTATATATAATCTAACTGACACACCACTGACAATGACAAATAATTTATTTCTGGAGGTATTGTGTGTAGGTGTTTTTCAGGTATGTTTTAGTATTTAGTCGTTTTATACAAAGAAATAGCCATTAAGCACTATAAAAATACTTCATAACAAATCTACACATATATACTTTTCATTTAAAAAAAGAATCATCAAGATTGGTAAAGCGGTTTCGGCGGGATGGATGCAACAAAAAAACCCTTTGAGCTTTTATATATGTATGGATTAATTATTTTTCCAACATATTTTACTTTGCAAATTTTTATAAATAGTCAGACTCGCCAATATCGTACTCCGTGTCCAGCCTGTTTAG